AGCAGAATACAAGTAACGTATAAAACAAGTTTCTTGCAACCAAAAAGGAGAATGAAAGAAAATTAAATTTAGTTATAGAAAAAAAAACTAACTCTTATCGATCATAGAATGACGACAAAAAGAATCAGAGAAATTCATTGATAAAGATATTGACAAAGGGTATATCAAAAACAGCGAGCAGCAAGAAAATAAAATAAAAAAATCAACGAAAATAATCAATCTGATTAAGGAAGGAAAGCAATAAACTGCACAATTTTTATTAGCAATAAATAAACTGGGGAGAGAAAAGAAAATTAACAATCAGAGACAAGCGACTAGAGTATAAAAATAAAATTATGCAACGGCAAATCATAAAAATATGATTCTATTGTCTACACAAGATGGAGGATAATCTGTGCCACAAATGTGAAATGATATTTTCTAAAATTGGCGCCAAAAGGTGTAAAAGTCACTTCCCATCATTCTCAAAAAGTAAATGAATCAAAATAAATAATTATATATAATAACAAATGAAAAGAAATGGTTGGTTTAATAAATATCTTGACCATTATCATTATGAATCGATATTTTGTTAATTCAGGCAAAACCGTCACAGAAGTATTTTTTTTAAAATGCCATCTTTAAATGTTCCACTAATAAAAACCTTAGATTCAAAATTTAGTTTTTACCAAGAGATCAACGACATCTACGAGCAAACAAAAAACCAAACACTAACAAATTAAATTTACTGAAAATAATATGTAGTCACAAAAAAAAAAAAAAAAAAAAAAAAAAAAAAATCTCGAATGTCTTTTTGTTATAGTTTACTTTAATTGTATACCGTTTAGTTGAAAACAGCATTTGGAAAATGTTGGTATGCAGGCACACCAACATTTCAACCCATCAACTGTAGCAGACAAAATTGCAACAAACTTCTAATGTTGGTAGACTTTATCATATCAAGTTTAATATTAAAATCTTTTCTCAGAGGCGATTTTATGAATTTATCTGCACGAGTCGGATTTCTAATACACTCGTTATATAAGCCCCAAATAATAAAACAATTAAATGTATATATTTACTTTGACCAATAGCAATGACTTGTATATTAATTATTTTCTACCATATAAATAAGTGTATAGATAAGTATTCATTCACGATCCCATTCGAATGTTATATATTATAAGGTCGGGTGGGAATCACATATATAAAGCTTTCGTTTTATTCAAGTTGCTTTAGCTACAAACTATCATATGACATACTAAGCAGAAGCTAGAGTATGTAAGAAAATAAATATTAGAATGCATGCGCACACACACACACAAATGTTAATATTAATAGGTAAGCATAAGAATAGAAAAATATTGAATATTTTCACAGAAAGGAAAATAGTACAATTTGTTTTAAAGTAATGTATGATTTTTTTTCAATTTACTTGCAAAAATTGAAATAAGTTGTGTTTATGGTATCTAGTCATTATGAACTTAAGCGCAGTTCTATTTGGTAGCAAAGCCTCATCATTTTACAAATGAAATGGTTAGATGTAACCGCAAGTTCTTTATTATAGTGAATACGTCGTATTTGAATTTGAACGATTATATTGAATCAATTGCTAGGTCTACTGCTAGGAATGTTGCTGGTTCCCGGCGTTGTACGAGACAATTTTTCTAACTGGAATCTATCCTACGTATTTATAAGTCTACCTTGCTTTGAATATTACTGCCACATCTGGTCTGGTGTTCTTGCTATATATTTAGTGATTATTGATAAAATCCAAAGAAGAATCTCCTACTACTTTAATGTAGCTTCCTTTTCTATAAATAATTTCATGCTAATTGTTCTGATGAACTTTTCTCGATGGTACCTAGACTTTATGAATTTAAGAGCAGTAACAGATTGGCGCTAAGATCTCATCATTTTAGAGTTGAAATGGCTAGATGGAACCGTAAGTTCTATGCTGGCAGTTTCTTCTATCGCACTTCTCGCTTGTGGAACTCTCTTCCGGCTTCTTGCTTCCCAGTCAATTTTGATCTTTAAAAATTTAAATGCAATGTCAAACGTTATCTGTTGTCTTATTTCTTGTTCTTTTATTGTTCTCTCTCCTTAAAAGTATTTTTTTTATTTCATATTCTCTAACACTTAATAACCCTCTTACGTCTTAGTGGTTATTTTACCTTGCTTGGAGTGAAGTGATTAAACAAAAAAAAAATATCATAAAGCGGCCATTAACCCAAAATCTAACGTTCAGTATCCTGCACGGGTTTTATGCCAACCTTTACTTACCACGGTTAATATTATACTAAAAAAAAAAAAATAAAAATAAAACTTCTATATTTGCTTAGCTTAGAAAAGTACGGATCATCAAATGAGACACAATGGAGACCAGAAGAAAATCCTGTTCAGAAAGAATGTCTGGGAAATGAACCTTCGAAGTCAGCTTCTTATTTCTGGGATACATAGCAATATCTCATCTTACCCTTATTAAACACCGAGTTATTCGAACTGTTAAGTCCCCATTGGTTGTTAGTCATACCATTTCAGTCATTATAACCACACGACCTTTTTTTAGGTGCCGGTCATCTTCGGTAATCTTTCGGAATCTTCAACCGAAATATTTTATTCTGTCAACCTAGTCAGCGTCCATGTTTAGGGGTGGGGGGTTGATTGTGTTAATTCATACATGTGAGGCTGCTTCTGTTTGTTCTACAGATCGAAGAATTGAAATCTTTAGCCTCTCTCGCTGTCATGTGATTTTTTTTTTCTGTCAGTTCCGTTTTTTTTTTCATCATTTTGACTTCTTTTATTAACCGACGCGGCTTCAATTCCCTTTGGTAACACCCCCCTCCTCTCCCCTTTACACCAACCTCTTACAATTTCTTTATTCGCTCTATTTGTTTTCTATTTCCTCTAAATCGCTCGTCCTTGGAAAGCGGAAGTGGCAAAAGTTCACTTATTCACAAATCAAATAACCGATATTAAAAGAGAATTTTTTTAAAAATCAAATATTAAAAAAAAATAAAATAATAATATAAAGCATCACACAGAGAAAGACAGGGAAGCGGTTAGTGAGAAATCACGTGGAAACCCATTTAAATTTTAAATGAGTCAACTATGTTTTTTTTTTCTATACTTTTAAATAGGATGTGTGGCTGATGTAATGGATCGCATCTCAGAATGAGAACTCGGAGAGTCGAGTTCGAATTTCAGTAGAGGTAGTTACGTGCACTTATGCGAAAATACACTTCGGAAAGGTATGAACCCATTTCCTCTCCTCCGGCTATGGATTAAAAAGTACGACTTTTGTCTGGAAAAATCATTGTTTATTCTCTTAAAATTGTTAATGCAATATTCACGATCCCCTCCCCCGCCAAAAAAAAATTATTCAGAAAATCCAAAATATATATTTCGGCAATATATATATATATATATATATATATATATATATATATAAGGAAATATATATATAAAAAATCGGAAAATATCCGGTTGATTTTTGAATTAGTAGGTCTTATGAATTGAATCGTGATTACGATTCCATTGTAATAAATCATAAACATGGAATATTAGTGTTTAAGCCTTTTATATTATATTCTTGCTCTGTCGTGGACATTGAGCTCTACCTGACTTCTATCCTCTTGGAAATATATATATATATATATATATATATATATATATATATATATATATATATATATATATATATATATATATATACCATTAATACATCATTGAATAAAATACCAGCAGTACATTTTTGAAAGAAATACAATACATATTCTGTTCATACGAACCTATTCTAAAAATCTTGTCGGCATTAATGACCCACTTATATTGATATGTCGTAATACAAGATAAATCTAACCAAACCAAATTATATAAACAGTTTAAAATAAAAAATAAAAACAAATTGCAGAATATTAAAGATATAAATTTTTTCCCTTTCAGTTCCGAGATGAAAACAATTCATCTTTGAATTTCTGGGATGTGGATTCATCATTATTTACTGAATTTATATTCAGACTAAAGATTAGTAAGAAACCTCCACCAACAATACTGGAAAGAGCGATGACAGATACTGGACTCGAGAAACCTGTTTTCATGAAAAAAATTGTTTTAAGAGAAATATTTTATAAATTTCAACCGAGAGCAGTACTAACTGCTCGGTCAGTGAATGCGGAATATTTCCTTATAAGGAAACAGTTAATATTCGAATTTCACAATAGATGACCGAACTTTGTTCAAGAAACATTTAACGAATAAACTCTTGTAGTGCAGTGGTTAGTGTATTGATGATCACGGAGTATTTAAATGTTGTTCTACTTTGATTTTGTACATATGTTTTTGCAGTTATTTTGAACTTAAAAAGTGGTTGGCGGATTTGTTTTAAAATGTTTCTTGTTATACTAGCCAGTGATTCTTAATCTGGGTGTAATTATGAATTTATTCAGGACCATAGATGGACAGATTCAAATTGTTAAGATATTGGCCATTTTACAAACTACGCTGCATCTTTACCAGTAAGGAATAACATTCGGAATATTGTAAAAAGATGGTGTTTCCCGGACAGCTAATGATAAAAAATTTTTTTTTTTAAAATACTGGACTCATAAATAAAATGCTGAGAATTTTTCATAAGGAAACGATCGGGTGCATATCAATGAATTTGCTATGCACGAAAAAGTCTCTCTTTTGAATTTAGTTATCCTATACTGCGTGTAGGGCTTATGACCGTATCACGTTAAAACACCTGTTTTCATACCATCACCTTAAGTTAAGCAACGTCGAACCTAGTTAGTAACTAGATGGGTGACCACTTGGGAAGACAAAGTACTGTCATTATACCTCGATTTTTCTTAAATAATTTCCAACCTATCGTCATTCGTCCTTTCATTTCGATGGCCTTTCTTTAAAGTTATTGCTTTCTATGTGCCCTGTCCTTTCAGGGCGTGGGCGATCATGGCTGCTCACAAATCTTTCCTAATTATATCTATTGCTGGATTTGCTCTAGTTCCTTAGGGCTACGGCCGTCTCACATTTAAACACTGAATCTCGTACGATTTTCGAAGTTAAGCAAGATCGAGCCTGGTCAGTATCTAGATGGGTGACCACTTGGGTATATCAGGTCTTGTACGCTTGGATGTGCGGGTGGTGCAATGGATAGCAAAAATCAGAGAGCCGAGTTTTAATTCCCGTCATTATATTCAATTACGCGATACTAACCTTTGGGAAGGTATAAATCCACCTCTTCCCCCCAGCTATGGATTAATTAGTAGGACTTGTATCCGTAAATTATTATTATTATTTCCCAAACATTCTTACACTCTAAACATATTTCCTGGCTTTAAATCACCTGAAAAAGGTAAGTAGACAATCAATCAATCAATCCTACTGCACGTGTTGTTAATAAAATGCGTGGAAGTTCATGGTGCGGTAGAAATACCTTTTACATAATGGCAAGAAATTAACTAGATGAACACACCATTGCCACTAATGTCTTACTATTATGTGGGAGGTATTTCTGCTTACACTCTGTATATGAAAAAAATATTTGCATTTGTGTGCGTGAGTGATTGAATGGAAGTGACAGCCTAAAGCAGTCGAAAGTGAAATTTAACGAGTAATTAGTTGAGATTTAGTTATTTTTTAAGTGCGCTGAAGTAGTTTTATTGAAGCACTAAAGTTGCTTGGGTTGTCTTTGCTACGATTTGAAATTGTCGCTAAGAACTGTTGCAAATTGGTGAATCACTACAGTGTTTCACCAAAACTACTAAATAATACTAAGATTTCAAAATAATAACAGCCAGTTTAAAAGAACGTTACTGAATTATTTTGATTAAGAATAATGAAGTTTTGAAAATAAAAATAATTTTAAACGAATCATATTGCCGTTTAAAAAACTGGGGTATTTGTTTTTTTTTTCTCGAAGTTGTTTTTAAGCGTTTTAATCTTGAGTTGGCAGTTAAAGAAAACCGACAATTTCAATTCGATCAGAAATGCGACAAGTAAGAAAAAAGGTTCACTCCTACTTTGACCAACAGTTTTGCTATTAATCCAGAATTTTGCGTGTTTAGGGAGCTTAGTCAGGCAAAAGTCCCCATGCAGGAGTACAGAAAGTGTGAATGGCTTGAAAAATTAGCTTTCGATGCCTTAGCTTTTACTAGGGATAGAACCAGTTACATCGGAGATCAAATACACCATTATCTCTGAAAACGTCTATATTCTTCAATTCTTTCTATTTATATTGAGATGCTGTAGCATAAGCCATGTTATCGAGTACGATTTTCCCTATTTTATTTATTTTTGCCGTTTGCAAGACTAAGATTGTGAGATATCTGCTTAAAAAAACTTTAAAAATACTTACATAGATTTGTTTATACCTACAATTGTCTGGAATACTAGAAATAATATTGATTCTTCAATATATTTCAGACACTTTTTCAGGTATGAATATTTTAGAAAGTATACTTCTAATGAGACTGATTTGTAAATCGTTTTTAAATCAGTTATTTTCTACGTTGATCGCTTCTCTTAATGTCTACGCAAACAACCAAACCAAACCAAACTACGCAATGTCATAATACCAACTGACCGGAGTGGAGTATACGTTGTTACAGCAATATAACAGTAGCCATGCTGCAGCTGCGTGATTCAATACTATTTACTTTTTTTACAAAAGATCGAATTTAAATAGCTATGACGACCACAATAGATTTATAATTTGCAAGTCATTTTTGATTGACAGTTGAAGCTGGAGAAATGTATAAATTTAATTCCAATAATAACTTGAACTTTGACATTACTGCTGCATAATTTTAGAATATATTCTGCATTTCTATCGGCCTATTTTGATGCATTTGATTTTGATTATTTTGTCATTCCTAAGTAACTTGTCAGTACATCTATGATAGGTGTTAATTTGTGCAGAAAAAATTAAGTTATCTTAAAACTGTAACGCATAGCAGTAAAAGGAAAGAATTAAGCTAATTTGCTACGTTTTTTTTTTTTATTTTCGCCAAAATATATTGCAAGCGGAAGTGGCGGAAGTCAGCACAAATGTAATGCAAACGTAATGGAATCAGTTCGGGTTTCCACACTTTCTTCGTCTGAAAAAAAAAAACAAACTCTCAGCATTTAAAACTTATTAGGGAATGAAGTAAGACTGGGAATGGAATCCTCAGCAGGGAATGAATTGGTAAGAAAGTAAAACCATTCGGATTAAAGATTAAAAATATGAGTAAAAAATAAGAAAGACGGGAGGGGGTGAAGAAGAAAAGGAAGATTCTAGACATATGCCCTTAATCTTCTTCCGACCGTGGCCAAAATGGAATCCACCCGCTGGCGAAACACAGGATGCCAATGCAAAATATTAGAAACCAGAGATAGTATCAACCTGTCATATTGTTGGCTCTGGAGTGAAGAAATTCTTTTTGGGTGCTGAGGGTACAATTCTGAAGAAACGCGAGGAAAAAAAAAAGGAAGAAAAGAAAGATAGTGGAATCAAAAAATGTAAGTGAGGGAGAAGTGTGAAATTGTATGGATGGCGTATAACTAAGCGGAGGGTAGCTGTCTTAAAAGCTTTTAGTGAATGCACACGCTATCATCTACCAATACTTTATGTAAGAGAATTTACGCAGATATGGATGTACACGTCATGTGATATTTTATATATTTATATTACATATAATAAAAGATGGTAAGGCAGAGTAATGGATGGAGAAGAAACGAAAATAAAGGTTGGAATCCAGAGATAGATGCGCTGAAGGCGAAATAGTTTACAATAAATAAAATAACAAAAGTCTACACACGCGTAAGTCTATATACACTTGTTTCGAGAGTGAAAGAGAAGCTGAAGAAAAAGATTATGGTGACGAATTTTAAATGAGTTAAAGAGTAGAACAGAAAAGTTGTTTACATAAAAAAAAATACGGCACTATAAGATAAATTAGAAACCTGAAGAAGCTATGGAAAAAAGAAAAAGGAAATTTTAGAAGCCACTGAAATAAGTTCTCATAACAGGCTGTTAAGAATCCTTTCATCAAGCTTTTGCCATTTAGACCTCACAACAAAACTAGAAAGTATGTGAAAAGTTTTCATTGCTTCTTGTTGAAAGAGGTACAAAAGTGTAGCAACCGTTGAAAAACTGATAAACACATAAATAAACCTGCTACGTTTCATAATTTTCTCACTTTCGTTTCCTTCCTATAACAAATACACCAACAAATTAAACAATGCATATGTGCGGACACATAAATTCTGTCTGCAAATGGCGTAACTAATATAAAAAAACGAAACTAGTTGTTATGAATAATTAAGATTGGTCTCCCCTTGTTTTGTTACTCTCCTCTTTGAGAGAGCTCTGTTTACTGGGACTATAAAAGGACACTATACTCGAACCTTGTATTCGCAGTTCAATAAAGCTTTCTTAAAGCCTACACCTGCGTATTTTTGTCATTGCACTACTGTAATTTATTTTCTATGTGCCATGTCTTTTCAGGACGTCAGTCATCATGGTTCTTCACAATTTCCTGTCCTTTGTAGCTCTTAATGAATTTGTTGTTTTTGTTATCTCTTCCAAACCCTGCATCGCCATCGATTGACAAAACGCTCCGCGGGAAGGTTTTTTTTATTTTCGCCAAAATATATTGCAAGTCCCACTTGCCTTCAATCTATTCTATTAGCATTACATTTTCTAAACCTTTTTTTTTCTCATTATTTACCCTAAAAATGGCAACTGTCTCTTTCTGATACTAAGTATATGTCCTTTTTTGTTTCAATTTTCTCTAGAACATAGTCGTTGCTCACATGTTCGGTCCATAGTATTCTCAGTATCCTTTTGTAGAACGCCATTTCGGTTGCTTCAGAATGGCAAAAATCGCAGAATCTACTCTCCTTCTAGACTTCATTTCGACTTGTGCCCGCTTTTTCAGCGTTTGTTTCTGACAATTGTCTGAAACGCAAACATTTGTATCAGTACCTTTGGAATTAATTAAAGCAAAGCATAATTGAAATTTAGATAACTATTTTAATTCTAAAATGGCTAAATTAGAAAATATGAGAAACGCTCTAAGAATGAATCCTTTTCGATAAGAATATTATAGAAATTAGATTTAGATTAGTTTCAGCTCAGTTTTTATTTGGGTGGGGGGAATGAGTGATAGTACAAAATGAAATTGTAAAAGGTTATAATTAATTAGAGAAGCAAAAAATCCCCAAAAAACAAACAAACAAACAAAAAAAAACTACAAAAAAAAAAAAAAAAACCAACAAAAAAACATGTTAATGTGTAAATGCTAATGTCTCCCAACGAATGGAGCTGAGAATCTGCGAACTCAGAGTAAAATTATTAACCTTGTTATTAACGTACTATCCCTTGATATTGGACACTGTACTTACAAAAACATTTTTTGCCTTGAAACAAAAATATATATATATATATATATATCTACCGTTGTATTTAATTATTTTTGGTTTTAACGTATCATTGTCAATCTCTATCTCATACTGACAACCCATTTTGAAAAATCCTTGTAAATATCAGATTTTATATGTGGGGTAATAATTATTCTAATATTACTACTAATTACTATTAGTAATAGTACATTGGTAGCCACTATCCTTTGTTTCCTGTTTAGGATTGGGTTTCCGGTTCATTCTAAAGTCTTCTCATCCTTATTCGCTCTCAGTACCCCCTTTGTATTTTAGTGTCATTATCTCCTTGCTTGAGGTGAAATGATAAAAAAATAAACAACTGAATTCAATGCCGATTTAGTAGTTCCATCCTGTAGAATTGCTGAAACTCCCCATGCAGCAACTTGCATGGTTTGACGATTTCTTTATGCGTCACAGTGAATCTATAGATTTATGAGTAATTTAATGTGCACAAACAGTAATTAATGTTTGTGTCGATTTTTACTAAGCATTACATCATTTGAAACAAAGTCACAGTACCCACAATCTCATGAGCAGTAGGTTCTTTCTCTCAACTTAGTATGGTAACTAAGAGCCAATCAGGATCGAACAAGTACTGCACGCGCGCATACACACAGTGTTAGTATCTTTATTAATATGGATACAAATGCACACAGACGTGTATATATTTAAAGTCTTCCCTTTCGATAAACAGTCGGGCATCTAATAGGGAGTAAACTCTCCTTAATAAAAGTTGTCTACAAGACAAACTTGTTAGATTCAGGGGAAATGTTCTAATGCTCGTGGATGATAATAGATTCACGGTTGACAGCTAATTATCAAAGAACAGACAGATACGAACCCCAAGAAAGCCGGTTGGGCGGGAATTCAATATTGGGGTTTAAGAAATGGGAATAGTTCCCATTCGTTACACACCAAACAAAATTGGGCACCCACTTGTGAATTGACATTAACCATACCGGAAATTATTACATGCCACACTTAGAAAAGTTTTAAAACGACTGCCTTTTTCCACATCATCCTTATATCCTGAAAACTTCTTCAGATTCAATTAGTTTTACGATTTAAAGATCTGTAATTTTCTCTTACTACTCAGAAAATATTCTACGCAAGATTTCGAATGTCTCTTTTTAAGGCACTTTTACAGGTTGGCAACACACACACACACACATATATATGTATGTATGTATATATATTTATTAAACATAACATCTGCATCACTACAAAAATTCGAATTTTGTTTCGATACTACTGGTGTCTTGATGATGGTGTTGATATATATATATATATATATATATATATATATATATTATATATATTCGAATTGTCCAGGAAATGACTAAAATAAAAAAAATGGACAGTAGGAGAAGATTGATTGATTTATTTGTTTAACGGCATATTAACGCCTCATTGGTCATTTAATACCAAAATTTAATTGAAATATTTTGAACACAATGCAATAGCTTCAACTAAATATATTTTGAACGCGATTGATAAAATATATTGTTGGTTATTTTGCTATAAAACGTATTGGTGGTAATAATATAAAATGTATTGATCATTTATCCTATAAATATGTTTTTTCTGGTATTTTTATCATAAAAATGTATTTTTATACTTTCACAGTGTTTTGTTTTTGTTTGTGTGGGATTCACTATTTGCCCATGGCTGGGACCCTAACAGGTGTTACCACCCGGGTCATGGTGGACTTGGGAACAACAGCAATTAAGAGGTGATTCCACGCTCCTCAAAACCTCCAATCTCCTGGTCACAGGCCTTGCTGCCGGATGCAGTTAATTGTCATACCCAGGACAATGTCACAGAGGAGAAGCGGTGACCTCAGTAAACGGATAAAACACACCTGAGTCGCAGATTTATATTAAGTTCAAATATACTCAGCGCTCTAATAAAACTGATCATTGCTTTTTTTTTTAATCTAGAATCAGAATGAATCGTGCGTTATATATAAGGCCATAGTACATCTAGAACTTATGCTAGCGCCTGGAGACGGATAGAACATAAATTTAGCGCACAATAATACAAGGGAAGTATAAGAATATGTCTTCTCACCGGATTTATTCAATCCAGTTTTTTTTAGGATTGTTTCACTTTAAAAGAAACTGGAAGTCCTACTAGGATTTATTATCTGTAGGCAATCTTACCAATCTGAGATACTCAGTATTGATGGCAGACACAGAAAGAAAAAAAACGTCGACACCAGGTAGGCATTGAAAGACTAATCAGTTATGTGCCATGCGTGATACATTTCAAGGCAGATTTTTTCCCCGCAGTAGGTTGCCATTTCTTTCTACCGTAGACCATTTGCTATCCAATGCTATAGGTCTCTCCTGCTATTTACCCATAGCTGGGGGGAGAGGAAGAGGATTGATACCTTTCCCAAGTATTAGAATGTAATGGATTCGAATGGAATTCGAACTCGTTTCTCCGAATCATCAATCGAAGCCGCTAGCCATTACTCCACCTAAAGACTAATATTGAGATTAAACCTATGTAATGATTCGATAATTTGTAACTTCAGTAATCGGACTAGGACCAGTAACAGTACCTCGGCTACATAGAAATGAGTTTCCTTCAGTATCTGTCTACGATTATTAACATTGCTTTTATAGAAACAAAAAGAAGGATATTCCATCTTTTTTGTCTGAATCAAAGACTGATTTTTTAAATGAAGCTTTTATCTTGTATGTGCCACGTCTGTTCGGGACATAGACGATCATGGCTCACCACAACATTCTATCTCGTGTTGCTCTTAGCAGTTGTTCTTCCTTTACTAATCTACCCAGCCGCTATAATTTTACAAAAGCTTGTCAGGTAAGCAGCTCGTTGCCTTCCTTTGTCACGCAATATGCCCAGTGAGTGTTAAGTTCTCCAAGCCCTCTTTCCTTATCACGTATCCAAGGAATTTCAGCTGTTTTTTTTTTTCCTGATTTTAAGTATAATTTTCCTTTTTTTGTTGCCATTTTCTCTAAGACTTGCTCGATGTTTATGCGCTTCGTCCAGAGAATTTTACTGATTCTATAATTTGCTCGAACATAAATATCCTCTCACATTCAGCTTTTACTCATGTCAGAATCCACAGCTGGCTTTTAATTAGTTTCCAAAACCGTGTTGTCATAAAGCGACTGTGACATACACAGTTTCCTACACACACACACAGAGAGAGAGAGAGAGAGAGAGAGAGAGAGAAAGAAAGAGAAAGAGAGAGAGAGAGAGAGAGAGAGAGAGAAAGAGAAAGAAAGAAAGAGAGAGAACTGTCTATGATAAAATATAAAATAAACATTGCTGTGCGCTTGAAACGAATTCTCTTCCAAATTCCGCAAAACTAGATACAATATTTTTAAAAAATCGATTGCAGTTAATTGCTGTTATCAACTTACTTCTACATAATATGACTATCTATCATGAAGGTGCATTTTATATAGACAAGAAGTCAAGAAAGAAACGGCAGAAACAGTATTCTCTTATTAAATTTTCGAGTTATTTCTTTGGTTTGAAGTTTATTTACACTTTATCATAACTGTCATTCAAAGCAATCAATCAGTCCGTTATGTATCATGCGTGATACACGCTTAGGCGATCATTTATCTTTCGATACTTGACTGACGAGGCAGATTTTTTTCTTGCAGTGGGTTGCCGCAGTGGGTTGCCATTTATTTCAGACCAGTTGCCATCCAGGTCTACAGAACCCGGTCTTTCCTGCTATTTGTCCATAACTGGTTGTGGGGAGACGTAGAGGATTCATACATTTCCCAAGGGTATGTAATGGATTCAACTGGAATTCGAACTCGACTCTCCGATTCCACAATCCTAGTCGCTATTCATTACTCCACCGTGTCTCCTCTTCAAAGCAATATGGATCGGAAATAAATAAAAATTCTGGTGAGAATAACTCGCATTACTTTTCCTTAGACAGCTTATTTAACGCAACAGCTGCTTTACCGACAAGACTACAGAAACATTCTGGCTGCAGTCATCCTCGACTACCAGAAACGCTGACATTTTATTTATCTAGACTATTAGCATTATTAGTATATTTTTAAGATATGTCGGGTATTTTATTTATTTTAAAAAACTAATTGCTGTACTTACTGGCTGCTGCTGCAAAAAAAATTATAGTGATGAAGGCAACCCAGTTAAAAAAATATATGGTCACTCAACCAGTTAAAAAGACTACTCGCAGTCGATGCATGATTAAAATGCTGATTTTGAAAAGATTAAAGCTTACCACCATACCCTAGAATAAAATTTTCGAGATTTAAAAAATCTAGAAAATTTTAGCCTTGCGCTGCATCGAGGTTTATGTGCCTCTAACACAACCTGCCAGTCTAAGAAAATCTTTGTTGACTATTTTTGTTGAGCGGCATCTCAACCTCCATGGGTAATCTAAATATTTTGTACACAATTTTATTTTTTGTGTGCTAATAATGGTTTTAGTGATACAAGTATTACTAATTAACCCATAGCTCTGGGGAGAAGAGTCATACCTTTCTTCAAGGGTATTTGGTCGTAAGTGAATCTAACGAATCCAACTGGAATTGCAACTCGGTTCTCTGATTAACAATTCTGAGCGACCCGCACATCGAAGCTTACAACACCTGGTATTCCTAAGCGGTTACTCATCTAGGTACTGACCAGGATCGACGTTGCTTAATTTCGGTGATCGTACGGGAACCGATGCGTCAACGTGATGTGACCGTAAGCCTCCAGTCCGAGAAAACGCTCTGCACCGGGCAACTAACATGTGGATGTGTCGCGGTTTACTTGATGCAAATTACAAAATAAATAAGTTGTAAAAAAAAAAAAAAAAATGTTATTTAAAAGATGTCTGCGATATAATTCTATAAATCTATCCCAAAACCGGAACAGATGGAATAGAAATAGGCGTAGAGGAACTGTGCTTATATTAGTCTTCCAAGTAGGGAGGGTGTAGATCCCTTGAAAATCAGCATTCGAAATTCTGAATGTTTACTGAACTCTGACAGATTATTGATGCAGTTGGGATATACACAGCCTGCTACAAGAATCAGATGGCGATCAGGAACCCCCACCTCCAAAAAACAAAAAAAAACAGTTACACAGCCTGCAACAAGAATCAGATGGCTATCAGCCCCCCCCCAAGAAAAACAGTGGCGTTAAATTTGAAGATTAAAATCGAAATGAGCGGAGAGAATACCAAAATGTTGCTGTAAATTTGCTCTGGTTTTGCTGATTTCATGTTTCTTTCTGACTAACCTACGCGTAGTCAGAAATACCGACTTCCATCTTGCTTCAGGCCGCAAGTCGAACTTCTCTCACGTCAGAGGTTGTATTAATGTCTCTGACATCGAGGCTAAGAAGTGTCCTCTAGCTCTCAATCGACAACATGATCTATAAGAAGTTACCGAAATAGGTGTGAGCTCTATCCGATATCTTTCGGCAATATTTCTCAACTTATAATTCGCTCACGTATTTGAAACTTTCTTCCTTATTTTTGTCCACTCTTCCTTCTGTTTTGACTTTTTGTCTTATTTAGACATAATTAATAGTAAGATTTCTGCTTATTGTAGCAATCGTCCTGAAGGGAACTTCTCTCGAAGACCAAATATTCATTCTTGACTTTGGAGAATCAGAGCCTTTCTGGATGCCTTCAGTTTTAGAGAAGTGGTTTAAGGAATGCTTATATTTACAAAATAAAACGTTAAATATCGCTTTTGTGGGTCACAAAGCGATTCGATCTAGTCTTCGAATAGAAACTTCACTTTCCTTTTGCATTAATATTGCTAAACCTATGTAACATTCACCTTTTGATGTTTTCTTATTGAAATAAATTATATGTGGGGCGGGGTAAGAGCTTAGATGTGACACTAGGAAGTACATATGGAGCACGAAGTGTGGATCAAATTCACTACTTTGTCGTAAATGAGCAAGCGAGATAAGCTTGCTAACCATCGCAATACGACGAAGTGCCTAGTTATAGACCTACAGCCAATACTTTGTCGTAAATGAGCTAGTCATTTTGTTATAGTTTACTTTAATTGTATACCGTTTAGTTGAAAACAGCATTTGGAAAATGTTGGTATGCAGGCACACCAACATTTCAACCCATCAACTGTAGCAGACAAAATTGCAACAAACTTCTAATGTTGGTAGACTTTATCATATCAGATTTAATATTAAAATCTTTTCTCAGAGGCGATTTCATGAATTTATCTGCACGAGTCGGATTTCTAATACACTCGTTATATAAGCCCCAAATAATAAAACAATCAAATGTATATATTTACTTTGACCAATAGAAATGACTTGTATATTACTTATTTTCTACCATATAAATAAGTGTATAGATAAGTATTTATTCACGATCCCATTCAAATGTTATATGTAATAAGGTCGGGTGGGAATCACATATAAAAAGCTTTCGTTTTATTCAAGTTGGTTTAGCTACACACTATCATATGACATACTAAGAAGAAGCTAGAGTATGTAAGAAAATAAATATTAGAATGCATGCGCACACACACACACGCAAATGTTAATATTAATAGGTAAGCATAAGCATAGAAAAATATTGAATATTTTCACAGAAAGAGAAATAGTACAATTTGTTTTAAAATAATATATGCTTTTTTTTCAATTTACTTGCAAAAATTAAAATAAGTTGTGTTTTGTTAAAAGTAAATGGTATCTAGTCATTATGAACTTAAGCGCAGTTCTATTTGGTAGCAAAGCCTCATCATTTTACAAATGAAATGGTTAGATGTAACCGCAAGTTCTTTATTATAATGAATACGTCGTATTTGAATTTGAATTGGAACGATTATATTGAATCAATTGCTAGGTCTACTGCTAGGAATGTTGGTGGTTCCCGGCGTTGTACGAGACAATTTTTCTAACTGGAATCTATCCTACGTATTTATAAGTCTATCTTGCTTTGAATATTACTGCCACATCTGGTCTGGTGTTCTTGCTATATATTTAGTGATTATTGATAAAATCCAAAGAAGAATCTCCTACTACTTTAATGTAGCTTCCTTTTCTATAAATAATTTCATGCTAATTGTTCTGATGAACTTTTCTCGATGGTACCTAGACTTTATGGATTTAAGAGCAGTTATAGATTGGCGCTAAGATCTCATCATACTGGTGTATTTCAAACAGAAATTATGTATTGATTACAATGCTTTTTTTATTCTTTGTCAGTAAAAAAAGCGATAAAATATCTTGCCATTTTTTGTATACAAAAGTTAATTCTCGTATTTAAAAATTTTCTAAAATATATTTTTCTAAAACGTTGAGGAAAATTTGTAAATTTAAAGTTAAATTAATCTGATTTGAAACAAAATATTAAAATGTGTACACCGTTGACACACACGAAAAAAAATTCGAACATGATAGAAAGGATTAAAAAAATTAGAGGTAACTCAATAATTTATGAAATGTTATTAATTTAAGAAATTTTTATAATATTCTAACTTTTATATTTTCGGAAAGCATTTTCAATCGTAAGGTTAAGTACCTAAAAACATTAAAAAAAAATATTAAGTAACTGTTTAAAGTTTTTTGTTAATTTTTAAAAGTTACCGTGTAGTTAAATAACAAAAACAAACCGTTTTTACTGAGAATTCGTAAATTTAAATCACTTCTGATGCCCCATACTTAACCTCCCAACATCTTCGGCCATCAATTTATCGATGGAAACGTGAGAATAACACCACGTGATCAAGAAATGCATGTATAAAAAAATTCTATGCTATAAGTAATATTTGTTTAATTAATTTAACTTTAAATTTACTAATTTTACGAAAAGAACGTTTCAGAAATATATATTTTATTTTTACAAGATTTTAAAACCGAGAATTAAGTTTTGTTTACAATCTGTCAAAAAAAAAAAAAAAAAAATTAAAAATGCCCATTTCGATTGGTTTTTCTGAAGAAAAAAATATGAATCGACAAAAATCATTCTATTTTCTATTTGAAACACACCACACTGTTTTGCTTTCTGGAATTAGAAAATCTAATTCTTTAGTTTTCAATTGAGGCTAAAAAGAAAACTTCAAGAAAGATTTTTCATTTATGAAAACACATTTAAACCTTAGGCATACCAAATTTTTGGAGGTACCTAGATTTGTAAGTTATCTATGTAATACTAAAACTCGTATGTATGTGTGTGCGTGTTCCCGAGATACAGCTTAGACGAAACATAATAACCCAACCAATTTAGGCACATACTGTACTTTGAACAAGTGCAGTATCAAAATTCATTAAAGTTAGACAAGGAGTTCTTTAGCTTTCTCTATTTTTACGGAATTTTTAATAGGATATTCAGTATTTGTTTTTTTTATACATTCTTGTATCAATCCGCATATATAAACAAACACTTGCATATCATATTCCAATAAGTGCGTGAAGATAATAAAAATTGATAATACATTATAAAAACATTGTTACATTAGTATAAATATGCAGAGCACAAAATATTTATACAATTCACTACAATACATTAGAATTTTTTATAAACAACTACTTGAAAGTGAAGAGGTTATATATGTTACTTGACTTGATGGTAAGTAAATAGATGTATTCTGGTTGGTTCTCATTACGTATTTTGAAATAAATGCTCGGAAGAAAAAGTATGGGTAATAAAAAATATATACTTATTATTTTGAGAAAGACTACACCTGTTTTAAGCTATTACTCTAAATTTTTACATAATGTGTTAACTATGAAGCCCAATGGAACACCAAACCTCCATTTACTGTTTTTAATATTAATTATTAATTTTATATTCAAAGTAAATTTTATGGAAGAAATTTCTATTTTAATGTAAAACATATCTATTGATATCGTAAAATAATTTATTTTCATACTTTAAATCGGGATAGATTTGCATTAAGGCGTTTTTTGGTGCTTTTCATTCGTTTTCTGGCCGACTCCGTGGGCAAATTAAAAACATTCCGAGCAGGATCCTGACCCGCAATCCAGAAATTTTGGATTGTCAAGTTTTCATTACAGCGATTGTTTTCGGTGACTTTTTTTGTACGTGATTTTTTTGCTACGAATTTTTTTTTTGTACGGTAACAATATTATATCTTGGAAATAAATTTTGGAATAATCTAAATTAATTGCGAAATCGAGCAAAAGTCACCCATGAAGTATAAATAATTGTTTGTAAGGAAAGTAAGGACCGACGTAGATAAAACTGTCTTAAGCAGCGACAGAAAAAAAATTATCGTTGAAATTTTAAAAGGTAAGCTTTAATATTAATGTAATACTGAAATGTAGCGATTAATTCTGAGTTCTTCTGTAGTTTATTGTTGTTTATTGTTGTTTATTCCTCCTTATCTATTGTTATTGAAGGCCCAATCAAGATCCCTCTGCAGGAGCTAGCTTAAATGCCGCTCGATAGGGCGGCTTTTAAGCTAGTCAATAATAAAATTGATTATATTGTTACTTCATTTTGTATCATGAGCTAGTTCTAAAAGAAACCCAACTGGTTTATGAGGAGGGGGACTCGTATAGTATTATATTTATATACAAATCATAACAATTCAAGCTAGATTTGTTGTTAGTCAGTTGGTTATATTCACTATGACTGTAAAGACTCAGCCTAATGAAATAGTCTGTGATTCAATCCAGTAGAGATTTAATACTGTGATGAGTTTGATCTTTATTGTATGACTTTATTATTTACTGAACAATACATAGTAAATAGAGTGGAAT